TATGTAAAAAAGACAAAAAAAAGGGGAGAGAAAAAACGACGAGAGAAGAGACCTTTCACTGCCAAAAGCCAGACTAAGCAGAGCAAAGAGAGCAGCTTCTATGGCTTCATAATCTTGGGAATGTAGCATTGAAATCAATGGAGATATAACTCCTCTCTCTGCTAACCTATGCCTCTGCTTACTACTCAGCTTACTCAGCTCAGTAGCTGCTTGGATTTTAGTCTCTCTTTCACCATTCAAGAGGTTTCCCACCACAAATTCCTTCCATGGAAAACTTTTTTAACCTTTCCCCCCCCACCCCACCCCCTCTTTTGTGTATTTATATATATATGTATATGTCTTTGTATATATGTATTGGGTACTTACAGAATCAGATATATTAAGAAATGGTGGATGTTAAAGAAGGTGAAATGGGTTGCTTGAAGAAGTGATTTTAGTCTTTTTTGGGTATCCATTGTTTCAGAATGAAGCAACTTCCTTCTTTTTTTTTTTTTTTTTTTGTTCTGGTTCAAGCAGGTTTTTTAAGTGGATGTTTGGATATGGAGATATAAATACTGATTCCTAAGAATGAATCTTCAACTTTTCTATCATGGAAGCAAACCCTCTTGGCTTTACTTGTATCTTTTTCTTTTCTAAAGACAAAATTTTTATGTCATTATGGATTTTTTTTCTTCTTTTTGGGTTAACATTTTAAGTTGGTTTTGGATAATAACTCAAGTGATCATGAAAATATGTTTCTTAATTACTAATTATATTTATATTTTAGATTAATTATATGATGAATTAATAATTTAATTTTTTTTTTAATCTTGGTATGAGTAGTTCATAATTATTAGTTTAACCCATTATTGCATTTATATTTTTTCTTTTATTTTGACAATAGAAAATATTTTTGGGTATTTTTTTAAAAAATTTTACCATCATAGAGAATATTTTTTGGGTATTTTTTTTTTAATTTTACCATCATATAAAATATTTTTGGGTTTTTTTTTTATAATTTTACCATCATGTATATAGCTTTTTATCTTCTTAAAAAAAAAAAAAGAATCATGGGTCTACAAAAGGGTAATTTTCTATTGTTTTCTTTTTCTCTTTTCTCCTTTTTTTTTAAAAAAAAAAAATTCTATTGCTTAGATTAGGGCCAATGAGCAAAGAGATTTTCAAGAAAGTTATGAATTTTCTTCATTCACAAGAATGGGATTGAACAGTATATATAACACATGATTCCTAATTTTCTCAACCCTCTCTTTTTGTTTGATTTGATTCATACTTTTGTTGGAACTCTAATCATTTTACTTCTCTTAATCTCTTTCACATTTTTCTACCAAGTTTTATGAATTTCGTCGAAAATGTTATCCATCATACCCAATAAATTTCCTTTACATCAACCTACAAATTATAAAATAATAAATATGGGAATTTTGGTTTATATAATAATTAAATAATTTTTTTTCTTTTTCTATAGAACATTTTGATTCATTTTATCTCTAAGATTTTTTATTTATTTATTTTTTTCTAATATTATTACTTACTTTATCTTTAACATTAGAAAATACCACATAATTTTCTTGCATAATCCTTATTTAAATATCTTTTCGTTATTACCAAAGCATAAAATTGAAATAAAAAAACTATTATCTTAATTAAAATATTTTTTATTTTGTAGTATAACCAATCATAATTAATATAGAAAAATAAATAAAATAAAAGTAAGAGAGATATTGGATGAGAACATTAATTTTGGACCAACATATTTTACTTTACTTTTGCCGCTATGCAACGGCGGTGACTTTTAAGGAAGAAAATGCTTCTCAAAACTTTCATCATGATGTGGGAAAATTGAGCAAATGAGATTTTGTGAACTTTTTAAATTAGATTGTCTACTTTATTCAATTTAATTAAGAAATTCTTTATATTTTTGTGAATTTGTGTTATTATTAATGTACATATTTATTTGATTAATAAGATATATGTATTTTAATCATCTATTGTATGATAAGAAATACATATTTTCAAATTTTACGTTCTTACTTGGGGACGATATTTTAAGAATTCACCGAAAAAAGAATTTCCGACAAAAACATTTAAAAAAATTATAATCATACTGTTAAAAGCATATAAGTGATTAATGGATAAAATTAATTAATTTTTCACAGAAATTTTCAAGTTAAATTGTAAATGAATTTAGGAATTTCTTCTGTAAATGCAAAAATACTCCTAATTTTACACAAGATATCACTTTCAAATGACAAAGATGTGGTACCCAAAACAGACATTGGTCCTGTGAGAAAATAGACTCTGAACTTGTAAGCTCAGGCAGATTTGATTCTTTCTTTCTCTCTAAACTCTCTCTCTTTCATCAACCCCAAGCACCCTTCACCACAAATATTCCTTCCATCAACATAATAATGCCTGCTTTAACCAGAACTTTGACCTGTAACTCTTCTATTGACTTCTTCAAGGGACTTGTTTGTTTGGTGGGAAAACTTATTATCATCCATTCATCCCACTAAACCAGATCATGATAATGTGATGATACTTTGGTAGTAATTCAATTCGATTTCGAGATCATCTGAACAACAAGTAAAATGTGTAATGAGTTGGGTTGAGAATCTTATATTCACAAAGGTTTCAACTCAATAAGTTCGTATTATTGTGTTTCTCCGAGAATTTATCCGCTCACATATGTAGAGTGATCTAGAGCCATGTTATGACAAAGTGGGTCTGTTAATCATTCTTCTCTGGCTAACCGGACTTGAATATGTGGCTGCATTTAAGTTCTCTGCCAAAGTGAAAGAAAAGAAGGAAAGCCATCACCTCTCAGGAAAAACATGTCTGCATTTAATGGCAGTGTCCATCTTTGGTGAACTGAATCCTTTAGGAATCAGA